GAAACACACACACACACACACACACACACACACACACACAGACACACACACGCACACACACACACACACACACACACACACACACACACACACACACACTCACACCCACACACCTGTACGGGTTGCGTCGCACTAGCACAAAGTATAGTGCAGGCAAAACCACGAATCCGTGCACCGACAGCCCAGCCAGCACGGTGAGGAAGTAAAAGCTCAGCTGTTCGAACGTCTGCTCGGGGTCATCCATAGACACCACCTGGGCCGCCACCAGGAACAGCACACCGACCGGTGAGTACCTGGGGACGTGACGTCACATTAGTCATCAACGGACACCACCTGGGCCGCCACCAGGAACAGCACACCGACTGGCGAGTACCTGGGAACATGGACAGCATGACGTCATATTGGTCATCCATTGATACTACCTGGACAGCCACCAGGAACAGCACACCGACAGGCGAGTACCTGGGGATATGACGTCACAATGGTCATCTATGGACACAACCTGGACGGCTACCATGAACAAAACACCGACCAGTGAGTACCTGGGGACATGACGTCATACTGGTCATCCACGGACATCACCTGGGCGGCTACCAGGAAGAGCACACCGGCAGAGGCGTACCTGGGGACATGGGCAGCGTGACGTCATAGTGGCCACTCTCCAAATACGCCACACTGGCAGGGAAAAAGGAGCAGAGGCAGACCGAAGAAGAGTTGGGAAGACAACATCAAGGAATGGACAGGCCCGGAACTCAGAGACACGCTCAGAAAAGCTGAAGACCGGAAGGAGTGGAAGAAGCTGGAGGCCAAATCTTCATAAGCGCTCCGACGGACATCCAGTCTAACGGATAGGTGAAGGTGAAGGTGAAGGTGAAGGCTTGGAGGTACATGGGCTGTTAGAGAGCACAGTGACGTCACAGTGGTCATCCCAAGGTGACAAGGACATCATTACGGAGTTTGTCCCGGTCAGTTTGTGCGTGAGTTGGCCGCTGTGCTGGACTGTGGCAGGAGTGTGGATCAGTGGGGGTGGGGAGGGGGTGGCAGAGATAGATAGATAGATAGATAGAAAGATAGATAGATAGATAGATAGATAGATAGATAGATAGATAGATAGATAGATAGATAGATAGATAGATAGATAGATTGATTGATGGATGGATTGGTTGATGGATTCATGGATAGATGGATGTTTGAAAATTAATCTATAGATAGATGTATAGTTTAACAAACAGATAGCAAACAGACAGTCTATAGATAGACAGAAGAATAGAAAAAAAAGACAAGCTGTCAAGTGGTCAAGCTTGTGAAAGAAACAATCAACCGCACAAACACTGACAGATGACCAAAACCACAAACACAGATGACTACACAAGCACTGACAGATGACCACACAAGCACTGACAGATGACCACACACACACTGACTAGATGGCCACACAAGCACTAACAGATGACCACACACACACTGACTAGATGACCACACAAGCACTGAAAGAAGACCACACAACAGATGACCACACAATCACACAACGGATGACCACACAAGCACTGACCAGATGACAGCAGAGACCAGCTGTAGCGTAGCCTCACAGAGCGCAGAGACAAAGTCCTTGAGAGGCCGGCCCTTGGGGCCAAGTCTGTTGATGGCTATTCCCAGGGAGATGGAGAACACGACCAGGCCCAGCATGTTGATGCCGGGGCTCTTCTGTAGGACTGGTTCATACTGCCGGACTACACACACATACACACGCATATATACACGAACACACACACGCACACACACGCACACACACACACACACACACACACACACACAAACATACACACACACACAAACATACACACATACATGCACATACATACACATATACATGCACATATAT